TTGAGCTGGCGGACGCTCGCCCCTAAGGGCACAGCTCAAGATTGAAGAAGCCGCAAGTCCAGAAAACTGTGAGGGCAAACTTTTCGGAATGAGGGTTTGTAACTCTTGGAACAATCTACCAGAGAGTGTTAGACGGCACCGAGTGTGAGCTCTTTCAAGACCAGACTTGACCAACACTGGAGCAGGTTCAGGTACATTCAGGAGCCGGTGCATGCCCAGTACTAAATAATAATAATAATAATAATAATAATAATTAACGGTTTATTGAAAGAGCTTGGCAGCCAGAAGGCTGAAAATATACAGTTACATATTTGGGGAATGGGTTTCGAATTACAAATAATATACAAGTAACATAAGTGACACAAATAAGACATATAATAACTAGATGGGGAAAAGCTCAAACTACTTGCCAACAGTGCGTGACAGAGACGTGACCGATCGCCCAAGCGGCTAACGAGCCGATTATTGGTGAAGAGGATAACAGTATTAAGTAAAAGTACATATTTTAAAGTTTTGGGATAAAGGATCCGCCAACAGATGAAGATGAAGGTGAGGCAGAGGATGTGTTAGTTGTCCTAAAGATACATGGTCACAACAGACTTAACAACCTTTTACGTGATGTAAATTATGAGGCTGAGAATTGTAGTTGATGATAAGTGAAAGAATCACACTTTGTAATTAACTTTTATTTTGAATGTAATTCTAGTCCTGGTAAAAAGTATTTGTTGACACACAAAAAAATATTAATTCATCCAGAGTGAATACTTTTGTCTGAAGTGTAAGATAATTTTAATTGTTTTATTTCATGCACTTGTTTTAAGCAAAATAAAAGCATTTCAGTGTGTGTGCTTTTTTTTTAACTTGAAATACTATTTTTCTTGCATAAAAGAACTGTTGTACAGCCATGTAGTTTCGTTTTATAATTTTCTTATACATGACTACATAATAAACAGCATCTTGTAGTATTCATGATTATCCCAGTGTTTTGTATGAAGCCTCGCAGGACCTGTGAGACATGAGGCAAACATTGTGAGGTTACCCCCTGACAAGTGGCTTTACTGCCCACACAACAGGTGGCAGCACCATCGTTTATCTTATATATCATATCCCTGAGTAAACTTTTAATGTTAAATATATCAATTATATATTTCTTTTATTAAACAGGAACTGAAGATATGGTATCCAGGAATTAAACGTTTATAGGATGAAATAATTGAATATGTAAATATTTCGATGTATGATCCCTTGACCCTTCCCCACAGGTGAGTTAATGAGGAGGATAAACTCTACTACTATTAACATTATTTATATCTTATTCATCAGTCATATGAGGTAAACTAGGACCTAACCCTACCTACCATTAGATCAAGTTTAGTTTAGTAAATTACGTGGCCGAGAAATAGTTCCTTAACAGTTAGCCTGGGGGGGAGGGAGCCCAGGGAGGAGCTGTAGGAGGGTCTAGGGTCAGGACTTATGGCAGCAATGGTCCTACAGGAGTATATCGGACGGCCAATCACTTCTCGACTGGTATTTGGTGTCATAAGGTCATAAAAAATTGGTAACCTAATTTAATCTGAGTTAATAGATCGAGTGCATGTACCTAACCTAACCTAACACAACTCAGATTAAATTAAGTTTACTAATTTTTTGTGACTATGACACCAAATAATAATCGAGAAGTGATTCACAGCCCAATTTATGCTTGTAGGACCATTATTTTACTTCATTGCGGCTACATTTGGGTAATTACTCGGACCGTGTTATTGGAGAGTTTATCACAGACATTTTTGCGTGTGTTCCTTCATACTCTTGGCCCTTAATGGAGTGAATAGTATTGTTGCAGTTTTTCACAACCATAGAATCGAGAATTTGTTATTTATGTACCATACTTAAAAGGGCAGGTTGACAATCCCTTACCCCAGATCATTAGGGCCGGGGGGGGTAATTATTCCTAGGCCTACAGTAGGTCCTGTTTCTCATGTTTGATCTTTTTTTCATTCTTGTATATATTATTATTATTATTGTTATTATTGTTATTATTTTTAGTGTTTTATTTTGCATGCCCACCTAAATAACTTAACTTTTTCGAAATTTTGGATAAGGGCTTATCAACCTATAAGAAACTTTGGTCAATTTGGTCTTTATTTTGACATTAAAAACAGGTTTTTCGTCTGGTATTTGATGAGTTTTGAACGAACTTGACATTCATTTCTGCCAGAAATCATTATTTTTAGATTAAACCCCCCACCCAACAATCATAACGGAAAGTTGGATTTCTTTTCTCAAATGAATCACAAATAAAATCCCAACAAACCTAACCTAACCTAACCTAACCAGGGTTGCACCTCTTCTGTTTCTTACTGTTCGGCTGAAGAAAACTGGTGACACCACCAAATGTGTTGTTCTTCACACAGTGTTCACTGATTACAGTGATCCTCGTTAACGAACGCCTCGGTTAACGAATTCATTCTTCCATAAGAATCTTCAGTTCGGTTAATCGAATCACGTTAATGAAATTTTTATGAAATCGTGTCAACATGTTTTCGCCTGACCACCAGCTGTAGTATTAGTCCCATAATACAATAATCGGTTCTAGGGCTAAAATTCGTTCCATTTGAGTAAATATCAAGAAGGTTGTGTTATTCAATAATTTTCCAAGTTTTATATTAAATTTTTAGTCATTTTAACACTTATTTAACATAATTGCAGTACAGGAAACTAGTTTTGGTGAGCCCATCAGCCACTTCACTCACCCACTGCACAAGTTTAGGTCTCTGCTCAGTGGAGGTAACATCTGCTTGAGACTCTCTTGAACATAAACTATTTTTACGTTTTTACAGTACAATTATTGGTCATTCTGAAATTTATTTAACATATTGACAATATATAAGTAGTGTAGTGTTGATTTAAAGAAAATAATCTTGAATTACACCATGAACTTAAATTTTATGGGTGAAATGATCGCATGAAGCATGGGGCGACTTCTCTTCCATCCCCCACTTCCTTCTCTCTTTCTCCCTCCACCCCCACTTATAATTCCCATCAATCAACCAGAAGCCTTCTACATGCACACCTCAAAGTAAGTGTACTTACTGCATTTATTTTAGTTTGTATGTAATTTTCGGTGAGCTGGAACCACTACCAAAAACCCATTGAAACAATGGTTTCGTTAACTAATCGACCTTCTGGAACGAATTGTTTTGTTAACCGAGGAACCACTGTAATATACTTTGGACAAATATGCGTGTTTTATAAAGAGAAAAGAAATTGCCTCACTAGTTTTCTGATGAAAATCGGCATTGAGATAAAATAATCTTATCACAGTGTCGGCACAGCTCATCTGGTACTGAAAATTAAAATTCCGCCCCGACCCACCGCCATTATTGTTAATTGGCTAAGAGAAAAACTTTGCCCAATAATAAGTCTCCTACCGCTATAGCCAATAAACTCCTACACCAACCTCCGCACATGTGTTGTTGATGCTTAAAGCGAAAAGCGGAGGTAAAAGCACTAGTGAGGGGTTCAGACCTTCTCCGGGTCAGACCTTCTCCGGGTCAGGCCTTCTCCGGGTCAGACCTTCTCCGGGTCAGACCTTCTCTGAAATGTAAACAAAACATGGCGTCACTTGTGACCAAATCTAATGATATGAAAAAATTAATATCTCCGTTACCCTTAATTTCCGTGGAAATATCACAGAAGAAAAATGTCTTAGAATTGTCTAAACATTACGGAATACTTACTAATAACAGCGGCACCGCTGTAAGACTACGAATTCACAGAAACTTTTCTAATACTGTATATACCATTTCTGTCGCAGATGTATAATAGCATCATAAATTAAATAATTTATTTACGTAAACACGGCTATAGTTCTAAAACACCAGTGTTTAGTAATGTAATGATTTGGGGCCAAACGCTCTATTTTTACGAGGCAATAAGGTCCAAATCGTTGGATACCCATAACAACACACACAAAAATGTCCATGTTGTAAGAGGTTGAAAATGTAATTTTACAATAAAATAACAATGAAGAACAATCCTTGTACTGTAATAGTTTAATTAGATTTCTCTTTAATAACATCTTCCCATCCCTGGACATGTGAAAAGTTGTTACAGGCAGCACAACTGTTTTAATAAGCTGCTCTTAAAACTCAACAGGAGTTTTTTTTTTGTACAACCAACACTTCACCCCAGATTCATTCAAACCTGGCAGCTCTCCTCCAAACATGTACACTTTATTTTATTGTCTACCTTTCTTCTTTCTTTATTACTTTCTTTCACTGAAACATTTGAATGGTTACTTCTTGTGTTAACAAATAGTTGTGTTTTTCTGACACTTGTTGTAATAAATATGAATATTGGTAAACTACTGTTTCTCAACTTAAATTCCATTATAATGTTTTCCCCCCACACATTTTTGGGTGGTTTTGTAGTGCAAGCAAACTAATTTGTCACTATAAAGGGGCACAAGATTTTCAGTTTATGTACTTTGAATGATTGTGAACACAAAGGAGCCATTAGTAATAATGATAACTGAAAACACAACCATATGAGATGTTGCCCCACAAGTACAGTATAAACAAGTCACTGTGTATGGGAGTGAAGTAACACTACTACAGTAAACCATTTACCTCACATTGCATTGCCTGTATTGATTTATTTCCAGCATGCCAAATGGTGTAGTACATAATGAATTGAAATATTCTAATAACATTAACTAGGTAAGTATTAATAATGAATTAAAAGTCTCATACTGATGGCAGTATAGGGGTATAGGCAAGGAATGGAGTCGCGAGTTTTAAAGCAGTTACTCCTGAGCATTATATAATTTACTAACTTTCTCATACACTAGATGGCGGGGTTTACCGGGGGTAAAAATCGTATTGATAAAGTGTATTTGGTAACCCATCGTAGTATCCGGCTACTCCTGAAGAGCGCTGCACTTTCCTCTTATTCCCTTAACCCTCATTGGGTGTGCCGGTGTAGCAGTTTTAGATGAAATGCGGGTGGAAGTGAAATGCCAGACGTACGACACATTCAGACAGCGGTAGGCTGCTTGACCGTTGCTCCGCAGTCCGCCTAAGTTCTGCTCACATGATGGACGTGGATTCCTCTGACACTTGCGTGCTTATATGTTTGGTATTGCATAAATTATATAATATTAATACAGTTGAGTGAGTGTTACCCTAAGGTCAGGATGTTGTGTGGGGTAGTAGAGTGCATATTGAGTTGTATATAATTGTCAACTCATTTACAGCCCGATCGTGTCTATGGAGGAGTATGAGGTAGCCTGCACTGAAAGGTTTGCTGCAGACAACATCCAGTATGAGAGAGTTATCACCTACCTGCACACTGGAAAACATATTGCTGGTCTTACAAATGCTGAACGATTAAAAATATGGAGGCAGTCAACTATATTCCAGTGGGACTCAACACGAAGGGATTTCTGTGATTTACAATTGAGTCTAGATGTGCTTGTTTTGTTTTGCCTTTCAAAGTAAGATCGACAAGTGCACAAGCTTTGTCTCCCTTTGTGCTGCACCCTTAATAACACTTAACATGTTCTCACCCAGCCTCTAGCATATAATTATGAGGTTAGTTACTGGCCTTTATTATTGCATTTACTCTCATCTGAGTAATTGTGGTAAGTCAGACAGCCCTGTGCACATGCATAATAAATCAGTGTGTTGGCATGCAGTGGAACCACAAAGTACAGTGAGTTACAGACTGCTTGCCAAAGAGGTTGAATGTGACAGAGTTCAGTTGTGTTTGATCAGTTCAGTTGGGTACACTGTCATGTAGGTCTTTAAGTTTGAGCTTATTCCTTTCCTTGAAGTTGTTCACACACCCCAGCCTGTGCTTGGAAGACGGGTAACAGTGTTAGGATAATGATGAGTGAATTAATGATTATTGGGATTATTACTTAGGTACCTAGTAATATTACTCCTTATTTAGATTCCAGTGGTCCCATGCTTGCACTGAGTGCAGCTTAATATAGTGCTTACAGTAGTTAAAACATTGCCTCACTGACCACTTTTCATTTAATTCATTTCAACCTTAGTAATCTCTTTTAGGTAAAGAACATTTCATACAAATGCATGTAACTATTATATGTTATAAAGGTGATCCTATCCCAACAAAGTCCTTTAAATTAGTTGATGATGAAAGAAAGATGGGGACTTGTAATAATCACTGTGTATTGGATATATCCTTAGATATTTGCCCAAGCACTGCTCTGTTCATCCAGTTTTGGTTGTCAAACTATTTTGCTTCACTTGCCTTTGTGAACAGCATGAATAAACAAGGAATATAATTGTGAATTTTACTTTCAGAGGAAGTCTTGTACTACACCGACGAAAGATGGCATAAGGAGGCAGGTAGTCAGAAGTCCTGATGAACGTAATCGCGGTTCCTTCATTTGTATCACAGCAATCCCACAGGAGGAGGACACAGTGGTTGAATGCCACTCTATGAAAAAGTGTCCAAGAATTATTTCTGGAGAAAAATGCAAGATGACGTCAAGCATTATGTATGTACAGTATTATTATATAACTGTGTACACAGTAGATCTATGAAACTTTATCTGTAACTTCCATCATCATTTATCACCACTGTTATGGACAGCTTTTTCCATATTACATGAATAGGTTACATTCACCTGACACTGACTCTTCATCTTATGTCTTCCTCATAGGGCTCCTCACTAACTTCTTCAAATTTCTGCAGGTTGCAACATGTAACAAGTGCCAACGTTATACTCCCTTTAGACCCAGGCCCATACAATGACGCCCATAAAGGTGAAGGAGCCATGGAGTAGACATGATAGGTGAGGATAAGTATTGTATACTTTTGTTTTTACTGTAGCAGCCAGGACTACTTAAACTTTTTTGAGATATTGGGGCTCACTTTGGACTCACGAGAGCTCTTTTGTGGCCACCTGCTGTTTTCAAAGCTATTAATAATCTCTGCAGATGTACTTGGTATGACCACCACCCTGGAGCATCATCCCAATGTAGCTCTATGGTGATGGGACTCAAACTGTGTGTTTTGAGCTGGAAACGACTTTGTAGATGTAGAAAACTTGTTTCATTGAATGAAGAGAATGGCCAACTGGCTTCATTTTTATGTTAAGCATGGTTCTGCTATAACGCGATAATTGTGTTCTTGTAAAATATCGTGTTATAGAAAATCGCGTAATAGAAATAACAGGGCTTATGGAGAAAATAGGGTTAGGTGCAGATTACTCAAAATCGAAAAATTTAGTAGTTAGCCTAACACAAAGGATAGCACAGTCTAAATAAATGTTACATTCATATCTAATAATGAAATCATACAGTAAATTTAACACTTTACCTTGAAAAATATGAATGTAACTTGATGGGGAGAAGGGTGATTTTGAGGTTGATAACATCGAGCTTCTTTCAAGTGTTATATCCTTTACGATAATCCCGGAATTCATCATCAGAACGCTTTTGGAGATATTCTTTTACCATTTCAAGTTAATACCACAAAATTGGAGAAATAGTAAGCAAAATCGCTATAGCAAACAAGCGCTCAAGTATACAAATATGTTCAATTATAAATCAGAGAGAAATGCTATCAAACGCTATAGCAGAACTCACTGCACTGAGAACACTTTAGTGTAAAACATGTGAAAATCAAGAATTTCCATCCATGAATAAAAGTCAACCCCAAAACACACAATCATATCAAATTACAGGCTTCCAATGACTCTCTCTCTCTGATGCTTATTTTATACTTAGTGAATAGATCTGTTTAGAGATTCTTTCCAAGTATCTTTGTCTTCTGTGTAAGTTGCTTCTGCTTTATGTTGTGCCGCTTAAATAATCTTCAGCTTTTGTCTATAATAATGGTTATCCAGGCCCACTCTAAGTCATGCTGGACACAGATATGTTTCTTTGTGGATTACTTCACCAAATTTGTGGGTAGCTAGATGCATAAGGGCTCTATTCACAGGTAATGTATGATAGTTTCAAAGTTTGATACAAATATTAAGTCACTGTATACACTGTAATGAAATATATAGGACACTATACTGTATGATAAAGAAATTTGAATGAATAATTTTAAATTTCTTCCCTTTACATGTGTTTTAGATGGGGCCCACCTGAAGGATACTGACAGACCAGGGACCTGAGTTTGTTCACTGGTAAGTCCTTATGTTACTATAAAACTTAATGTAATACTTTCTTTGTCTATTATTGAGAGGAACTTTAAATAGATTGAAACATGTTAGCTTTGTGTTTCACTGCTGCTGTAACTATTAATTTGTCTTTGTTTATGAGGCCATCTTGACTCCCACCCCATGGTTGGAAGATGATGATATAACAATGGGTAATTAACAATATCAATATAACTGTCCTCATACTTACAGTATACTGTATAGTTAATGATTTGATTTGGATTTTTTAACCCTTACGCCGGCCAGAACACGCGCCTTTTCCTGCCATTGTTTAAATGCCCAGCCTGGGTTTTCAGGTTCCCTCGTGACTATTTGCCTGTTACGCCACACCTCGGCCACAGGGAAGCTTCCTCAACATAATAACCTACTTTTGTTTGTTTCATTGTTTGTCCATTTTATAATGTTGTATCAAAGTAATATTGCTAAAAGTAGTGTAGTTGTATTGTAGTGCAGTATTACTGGAAAATAATGGTATGATTATGTTATAAATGTATTTATTTGTGGAATTATTATTATTCTATGCATTACTTGATCTACCAAACACAGAGACAGCCTGGAGACCGATCATGCGTGTGTGTTGCTGTTTTTTATGAAAAAATAAAGCAAATAAAATATTCGAAATTAATTATTTTTTATTTTTTATTTTTTATTTTTGTGGGGAGGGGGGTAATTAGCCCACCCGGGCACAGGTCAAACGACCCACAGCAGGACCTGGGGCAAAAAGAACAGAAAGAAGTTGAATATAGAAAAGAAAAAGGTTATACTGTACAGTGGTCCCTCGGTTAACGAATTACCTTCCATAAGAATCTTCAATTCGGTTAATAAAAAAAAATTTGATTAACGAAATCCTTACTTAAAATCACATTTTGTTTTGAACATCAGCTGATAAGCTGAGGAGGTACTCAGCCAATTCAGTGATCTCTTCTATGTTTACATTCAAACTAATCACTATCTTATAAGAATTCCAGCAATGCAAATTAAATTCACCTCGGTCACTTCTATTAAATTTTATAAGCAAAAAACAAAAAACTAAATCTAAAGGACATAAATTAACAATTAAAGACTGGACACCACAGGCGCCAACTGTCAAACATGTCACTGCCATCCCTCCTCCCTTCCTCCCCCACTTTCCCGAGATACGTTTGGGGAAAAGCACTAGGCTTACAGGTTTAATAATAAATAATACCTCAGACTAAAGTTAGGAGAATATAATTGGCATTGCTGTATTTCTTGCAAGACAGCGGATAATTTGAATATAAACGTCATATATTTTGCACAAAAGATAAAATTTTTGCTCTCTAATAAAATCTTAAGTTAGATCTAGAATTTGTATGTCTAATGCAAATTATAGCTTGTTTATTTTCAAATTAATCACCATCTTATAAGAATTCTAACAATGTAAATTATATTCTGGCCGGGTAATTTCTATGAATTTTATGAGCTAAAAACAAAAATCTCAAGTAAATAAACAAATTATACTTCACCAGACGACTACTATCTGTCAATCAAAATACTGTACACCTCACACCCTGCTCTTCCCACGCTCGCTGGCTCCCTCCCTCCCTACCTACCCCTGCCTTCCCAGACAAAAGTTTCGTGTTTTCTTTAGGCTTTAAAGTGTTTATCTTATATAATATCTCAGACTAAAGTTAGGAGAATATAATTGGCATTGCTGGAATCCTTGCAAGACAGCCAATAATTTGAATATAAACGTCATATATTTGCACAAGAGATAAAATTAATCACCTGTATCACATTACAGTAGTGATTTAAGAGGTCTAGTGTATATGTACGATATTTATAGTGATTTAAGGGCGATTTAGGGGAATTTTAGGAGTGTTTCTGATTTTATGCGTTTTTGGCTTTACTTTGTATGTACTTTTCTGTGAGCTGGAACCAGTTCTCAATATCCCATTGAAACAATGGTTCGTTAACGAAATTTTCGGTTAACGAACGACCTTCTGGAACGAATTGTGTTCGTTAACGGAGGGACCACTGTACTGTGTTAATCTACACCACTTAAGATGCTGGAAAACCAGCTTTTTAAAGTGAGACAGATTGTATTAGTATGGAAACACAGAAGAAGGCAGAGCATTCCACAGTTTGGCTGTGTGAGGAAAGAAGGAGGTACTATAACGGGTTATTCTCGTGTGACCGACATCCACAGAAAACGGCGGTGGGGCACCATGGCAAGACCAGTGTTACGAACCCACAGCCTTGCCGGTACACAGATGCCAACCACCGGCCATTGCCCGCTAAAGTACCTGTAAAAGAGAGAGAGTGAAGCAACATTAAGTAAGAGAAAGGGAAGAGGGATTGTCAACTAAAGGAGCAGAGTTAATAAGACTAAATGCCTTGATTCCAATTCATCTAACAGTTGAAGAGCCACCCCAGATATGAGAGCAGTACTCCAAGTTAGGACGAATGAATCCTTTTATATACTTGAAGCAACTGTTCAGGAGTGAAGTAGCTATGGCATCTGTACAGCATTCCTAACTTCTTCAGGAGGCAGCTTTAGCTATATTATTGATGTGTGATTTCCAGGACATCTTGGAGGAAATGGTGAGGCTTTAACATATTTATTTTCAGAATTTGGCAGAATGATAGCGTCCTGAAATGTAATTGGTGGAGATCATTAATTTAGAAAGTGTAATTGTAAATACTGAGTTTTATTACTATTGAATTTAACTAAGTTTGTACCTCCCATTCAGAGATGGTGCACAGATTCCGCTAGATAGAAGTAATGATATCAGCTCTAGAAACAGATCTAGTTTGAGAGTTGATATGTAAAAATGAAGAAGAGTAGCATCATCAGCATAGAATGGATAGAATTAGTTGTAGAAGTAAATCTTTGATAAAAAAAGAAGGAAGAGAGTAGGTGAAAGAACAGAAAATCCCTCGACAACAACTGCCATGGATCGTTCTCATGAAGCTAGAGATGAGAAAAACAAAGTGGGGAAGAGAAACCAAAAGAGGGAAGTTTAGAAGTAAAGACTTGTGCTACCCTGTCAAATGCTTTTGCAGATGTCAAGGGCCACAACGAAAGTTTCCCCATAATCCCTAAGAGAGGATGACCAAAGATGGGTGCAATAGGAGAACAAATCACCAGTAGATTTCACCTGGCAAAAGCTAATACTGCGATCCGAAAGATAATGGCGTTCAAGGTGACGGAGTAAATGAGAGTCTGCCAAGATAGTTTAAAAAAATCTTTAGAGAGAGCTGAAGTTAGGACAATGGGGCGATAGTTAGAGGGATTAGAATGGTCACCCTTCTTCGGGATGGGCTGAACCAAGGCATGCTTCCAAGAAGAAGGAAAAGTTGGGGATTTGAGGCAGAGGCGAGCAAGCACAAGGGCCAGGGCTTCAGCGCATCACACCAGAACACGAGGGGGTATTCCGCCCGTCCATGCTTTACTCACATCCAACCCTGGATAACACACCGCAACCCGCGAGTGGAGATTATAGGAAAGTGCATAGGTTCAGTAGGAGGAGCTTTGGGTAGGAGGGATAGAGGGAATCGTCTAAGGTGGAATTAGAGGAGATTAAGGTGCCAAAGAAATTGGCTTTTATCAAGGGCAGAGTTGGCTGTAGAGTGATTGTGATCGGAAGAGAGGAGGAAAAGAAGGAGGTAGAAGCGGTTATGAGATAAGCTTTTTGGTGAAGGATTTACTAGAGGAAGAATTAGGTCAGGACAGCGGCCTTTCTTTTTTATAAAATTCCGCTTTGGGCCTACGAAGAATAAAGGCCTTGCTGATTCCTAGAAGTATTGGAAAGAGGTGTGGGTATTAGGAGGAGATAGTTTCATAGCTCTATATGCCCCATCTCTCACCCTACAAGCAAGAGAGCAGGAGAGATCAAACCATGATTATAATGTGAAAGTTTTAGTAGACGATGGATGTAATACTCACCCCAGGTAGCCCCCAGCACATACCGAGGCATCCCGAGTGGAAAAGCAACATTCATCCCAAGGAAAGTCGGTGAAGGAGGGGAGGTGGTCGTGCTCCAGTTTGATTTAATAGGCAAGGTTGTGATCAGAAGACCCTAAGGGGCAAAATTGAGTATGAATAGTGAGGGGGTTAGAGGTAAAACAAAGATCAAGAATGTTACAAGCTGATCGGTTGACTGTGAAACGCCGTGTAGGGTGTTTGATTATTTGTTCTAAATCTTAAGTAGGGAAAGAGAGTGCCTCTAGCTCCATTTTGGGTCATCCCTTGCAGAGCCAAGCCACTTGTTGAGGCATTGAACTCTCTTAGGTAGAGGATCTGCAAGCTGGGAGGTGTGTGGAGAGCAACGACTCATGACAAGAAGTGAGATAGTCAAAGAGTTCCAAGTAGGTGGTAGAGCTAGAGAACAGTATAGGAAACAAAGAAAAATAGTCACAGTTGGTAGTGACCACGAAGGTCAGCTGTCAAAACAACATTGTCCCTTTATCTCCCTCGCCACCACAGGGAAGTTTGTAGAGGATCAATATATAGTTTTTCTTAATTATTTTGTATCATTTTATCATTTAAAAAAGTAGTTAAAAACTATTTTTGGAAAAGTTTTTATTTTTCTCAATTCATCCTCGCGTGGGGGGGGGGTAGAGACCCTAGCGGCACCCTAGCCAGGGGCGAGGGTTAAGGCCAGTGATGAGTTATGCAAGGCTTACAGAATGAGAAGAAGCATCACATCAGCATATCATCCTCAGACCAACGGATTGGCCGAAAGGACCAATAGAACATTTAAGAACAAGCTCGAAAAATTGTGCAACGAGAGACTGAGCGACTGTAACAACTACATTGAAGAAGTCGTTTACAGCCTCTGAACACACAGGCAGAAAAGTACCGGCTTTACACCCTTTCAATATATGTTTAATCGTGAGCATAGGCCACTTGACCTGGTAAGTACAAACTTTGTGTGTGTGTGTGGCGGGGGGGAGAAGCAAGATGGTCTGAGGCTGTTTTAAGTTTTTAGGGAAGTAAAGATATTGGAAAGGCAGGCCTCAACCCAGTGCTTCCTGATTCTACCACAAGATGGTGGGTGGTGGGCTACATCAATCCTAATCCCTACACTGTTTTAGCTAGGTATATTTCAGTCTTTTAAACTATGACATTAATTTTCAGGATCTATTGATTGTGAGCCAGACAGCCTTAGCCTTCCAGATGAAACTGCTGCTGTAAGTAAAGTACTGCCTCAACTTGTGTATTAGATCACACCAAACAACAACTAGGTGACTGTACATATTTTAGGTGCTTATTTGTGCCTTCTCTAAACTTGTACATTTTCATATTCCAGGCTTCAGAAGATCTTGCTGACCTTCCCAGTGATGAGGAAATTTCAAGCTATGAACAGGATCAAAACAGTGAGCGTGAAGACTTGCCCAACCAGGTGAGTATGAGTTGTGCTTATTTATATTATGTCTGAGTCTTAAAGATAAATGACAATTATTGTTATGATGATAAATCAGTCTGTTGGGGACAAACACAGCAATCATTTGACTCCCTCTACCATCAACTATCCCTTCAAGCCCACTTCTAGCCAGGTCTTCTTCATCCCCAGACAAATCTTGGCAACATCAACCATATATAGTAATTCATTCATAGTAGGGCGGGCCAGTGCGCCGTGGGTGTGGTGGAGTGTCCTCCCTGTTATTGAGGACATACTCGGAGTGTGGGAGCGGGAATTTCTCAGTGTGTCGGTGAATATCGGGTGTCGCCCTAAGCATTGTCACGAAGGTTCTTTTCATCCCTTACGGCATTAATCGCAAATATTCCGTGTGTTCACTGGCGATCACTGCCGGTAGCGAGCGTAGTACTGGGCCGACTGGTGCAGCTGCCAGTGCCAGTGTTGGTAGGCCTACTTTGGTAGGGTGGTTTGAGACTCTCGCCCCTATGGGGCCGAATGTTCTACGCTTGCGTCGTCTCCCTAGTAACGGACACTTCATGTAGGTCTCGCCGACCGTGAATGTATATAACTAATATTACATCAGTGCGACTATAGAAATAGTGGTTATTTCTGCCAAGGATATATAAACAAGTGTTAGGTGTACAATTTCTTTGCTCCCAGTGTATCATTCTGATGTGTGGATTGTCACCACAGGGTAGCTAACACCAACGCCACAAGACGTATGCCCTCTTACCGGACACAGCAGTCCAGCATGTACCTCCGCCCTTTCCTCATAAGAACTAGTTTATTCTTTTGTATGGGACCAAAGCAGATGTCGGAGGCGAATTAACTGTCGCCCAAGGTGCGGAACGCTATGCCGGGTAACAGACATTGTTGCCCGTGCTAGCCAGTACCAAAATTGCACTAGCTGTGAATGTGCGAGAAACAACTGACCATGTGTGGCTTGCAGAAAGGGAAACAATTGCCGACACAGGAGGCCACAGTGGATATTGCCAGGACCCATCCGCCCGATGATATCCTAAATTATAGCAGTGAGTCTACTCAACCTGAAAATGTAGTACAGGTTGTACCTCTCTAGTCCGGCAACCTCAGGACCTGACCGGTGCTGGACCATGGAAATTCACCCTTTTCCTGGACAGATAGTGACTTGCGCTTACGTTAGCACCACTTTCACTGCTTCGTGGTCTCTTTGAAGACATATTGAAGGGTTAAATGTCGACAGTAGCCTCAAATCATGAAGTTTTTAATTCAATGTTTTTATTTGGACACACAAAAACACAATACATAATTTAAAATTTACGGCCGAACTCAAATTTCGACGGGTTTGAATGGCCATAAGCGTTCAAATGGCGTGCTATCGTGTAGCGTCATTTCTCTTATTACAAAAGATTCATTATTGTTTATTACTGAATGTCTTTTTGATTGAATTAATGTTTATGTGTGCAAAATGGGCAATACAATTCATTAATAATCATGAGAATATTAAAACACACGAGGAAATGAGACAGCATTGTTTTCGTTGATTACAAAGCCAGTGACTGACTGGTTCTACATATAAAACTGAAGAAAATAAGACCTTGGTTGTAGCTGTAGTAAAATTAATGTAAAAAATTAATATGGTTGTTTGAAGTAATGTTATTTAATGTTAATAAATGGAACAATATAAGTAGCTAACCATTAATGGTAAAGGAATAAAGTGAGACTGCGGCATTAATAACAAAGTGTGTAGCTATCGTCATTACTCTCATAAGAATATGAAAGCAACACTTATTTACTGCTCATATATATTGAAGGGTTAAATGTTGTACTCTGTATAGACAAGCAGAGAAAAGAAGAACAGCGGAACTGCGGGATGTAAACAAACCTTAACCCTTTTTTTACGAGGATTAGCCCACCGGGCTAGGTCACTGACCCACATTGGGGCCTGAGGATGAAAATGTAATACTCCTGTAATAATAATATATAATAATTTAATAAGTAAAAAAAAAAAAATAACTATCTACCTATTGGGAAAAACTAACATCGTTCCGGACCACGGAGTTTCGGATCACAGAATGCCGGACTAGAGAGTTAAACCTGTACTAATAAGCGCTGCGGCCGTAGCAAAGTCACGAGGTGAATGAGAGACAGCCACCACAGTGGAATGGCATGTCGATGGAAAATCTGGACATATGGGTTAAAGAAACCTACTCAGAAATTGTCAGGTGGTTGCCAGCTAACCTGTTTGAACCACCCAAGTGTGCGGCCACCAAACATAAGAACATAAGAAAATAAGGAGTCTGCAATAGGCTGGTTGGCCTGTGCATGGCAGCTCCTGTCGAGAGTTACTACCACTCTCTATCATCCATGAATCTATCTAGCCTCCTTTTGAAACTTTCCAGGGTTCCCGCACTTACTACAAAGTTGCTATTTGTTCCACTCGTCCACCACCCTATTTGTGAACCAGTTTCTGCCTATCTCCTCCTAAACCTAAACTTATCCAACTTGAATCGTTGCTCGAGTCATCCTGCTCGGATATTATAAGAACTTTATCTATATCCCTTGATTCCTTTCACCCATAAAACTTCTATCATATCTCCCACACTCTTCGTCTTTCTAGGGAATGCAAGTTAAGTTTCTTTAACCTATCCTGATATGGAAGGTTTCTAAGTCCTGGAATCATTTTGTCATTTTCTTAGCTGCGACTCTAGTGAATTTATATCCATCCTATAATAGGGGCACCAGAACTGAACCGCATAATCGAGTCTTTGGCCTGACTAGCGCAAGATATAGTTGCAATAAGACCTCTGCACTCTTGTTACTTACACTTCTAGATATAAAACCCAAAGAAATGATTCGGGAGATGATTAAGCCTCATAACTGAGTACACCCAGGACTGCTTCCTTGACCCTTTGGCTCTTCAAATACTGGCAATAACACCACATCTATTCTGTCAGAGGACACACACAAAGAAAATGCGGCAGCAATGAAGAGAAGATTGACAATGTGGCAGAATGGGGCCCTTGATGATCTTCCATGTGAAGCAAGAACAATGCAGGAGAGACTAAAATTTACAGGTGACGGAAAGCAAAACACCGATGACGTTGCAAGAAAGTTTGGAAACAAAATGCGTGTGGGAAAAGTGTCTTTGGCAGTAAGATCTCTCACAGAGGAATCCTCCGGTGGGGTTCTGCCAACAAACAGAGAGACATTAAAACAACTGAAAGAAAAACATCCCCTGCAAGTGAAGACGAAGGCATCAGGTTCCAGGGTGACTATATCCCACCAAACGCTGTCCTGTTCGAGAAAATAACAGGAGGGATGGTGTGGAAAAAGGCACTGAAGACTCGAGGAGGAGCCGGCCCTTCAGGTCTGGATGCAAACGGTTGGAGAGTCATCCTCAGCACAAACAAGTTTGGCCCTGTAGCAAGTGATCTCTGCACTGCCATTGCCGTCCTTGCAAGAAAGCTGGCAACCTCTTGCTGCCATCACCTCCATGCTTTGACGGCCTGCCGCCTCATTCCCCTGGATAAGAATCCAGGATGTAGGCCAATAAGAGTGGGGGAAGTGCTGAGGCGTATCATCGGAAAATGCATAATGGAGGTGGTAAAGGACAATGTCAGGGCAGCAGCAGGGAACCTGTAAGTTTGTGCTGGTCACCAGGCTGGTGGGGAAGCTGCCATTCACGCCATGAGAACGATACAGTATTACCCCGCTTTACACGGTTTCACTTTCCGCGATTTCTCGCGGTACCTTGCCAGAGCCGGACTTTCACTTTCCGCGGTGCATCTACTCATATACGCGTGAAGTATAATTTTTTTTTTTTTTTTAGCTCATAAAATTCATACAAATTACCCGGCCAGAATATAATTTACATTGCTGGAATTCTTACAATATGATGATCATTTTGAATATAAACATCATGGATTTTGCATTAGACATACAAATTTTAGATCTAATGTAATAATTTGGTTTACACAAAGCAAGTATTTTATCTTTTGTGCAAAATATATGAAGTTTACATTCAAAATATTCCCTGACCTGCAAGGAATCCAGAAATGTCAATTATATTATCCTAACTTTAGTCTGAGGTATTATTTATTACTAAACGTTAAAATCTAGTGTTTCACCCAATCATTTCTCAGAGAGGTAGGAGCTAGTGAGCTGGGAAGAGGGGTGGGGGGGGGTTTGAGTCCATTATTTGAATGGACATTAACCTGGCGACTGTATTTCTCTTAAACATTAATTGTGTGAGCATACCATCATAAAATTTAGATGTTATTTTTACTACAACATAGGTATTGTGTCAGAAAAAGTGGAGTTTGGGGGTCGGGCCAGTCTCTATTGGAATTAATCCCATATGTTCTGTTGTTCACTTTACGCTGTTTTCACTTTCCGCGGTACCCTGTGGGTTCAATTGACCGCGTAAATCGGGGTACTACTGTATTTGAGCAGCGTGAATGTGAGGCCGTTCTCCTGGTGGACGCTTCAAACGCATTCAACATTCTTTACTGCAAGGCTGCACTGCACGACATCAAGATCAAGTGTCCAAGCTTTGCAATGTACGTTGAAAACACCTATAGGAATCCATCAGACCTCAATATAGTAAACAACAAGGCTCTAAGAGGTGATACCATCATACAGTCAACCAAGGGAACAACTCAGGGGGAACCCTTTGCAATGGCATTGTACGCAATAGGCCTATCAGTGCTCCAACACACAATAAAATTTTAAACAACTGAGGTCAAACAAGTGGCATATGCTGATGACCTTACAGGAGCAGGAAAAGTGGAGGGCATCAAAAAGTGGTGGGACCTGGTAACATCGCAAGGTCCACAAATAAGGTACCACCCAAACGCCAGCAAGTCCTTCCTCATTGTGAAGCCAGAACGGGCAATGGAGGTGTTCGGTGGAAGTGAGGTCAAAATAACAAAGGATGGCCAAGGACACCTAGGTGCTGTAATAGGCACGACGGACTTCAAGACCGAGTACGTAACGGGAAAGGTGAATGAGTGGGTTAAGGAAATCCAAGCTCTGTCTGACATTGCTAACACAGAGCCACATGCGGCTTTTGCGGCATTCACCCATGGAGTCAAGCATCGCTGGAACTACCTGATGAGCACTATCCCTGATATCGGACCCTTCCTCCACCCTCTGGAAGAAGCTATCAGTGTCAATTCTATTCCCAAATTAGTGAAACACCCTCACTTAACCCCAGCAGAAAGATCACTCCTTGCACTACCACCGAGACTGGGAGGAATGGGATTGGCCAATCCAGAGGAGATTGCTGCCACCGAACATCAAAACTCAGTTAAGCTCACGGCAGCCCTCACGGACCACATAATAGCTCAGAACGCAACAGGGGAGGTGGATACCAGTGAAGTAAACAAGATCCGAAGGTCCATTACGACAGAACGACAGCACAGCCAAAGTGATAAATTGCAGCAACTGTTTTTGCAAGTACCAGAGAATTTCAAAAAAAAGTAGCTATAGCGCAGGAGGTGGGTACCTTGAACTGGTTAACTACGTTACCGATAAGGGCAAATGGTTTCAGTCTCAATAAACAAGAATTTACAGATGCCATTGCTCTAAGGTACGGTCGGCCAGTAGAAGGTTTACCCTCCCGCCATGATGTGCAAGAAAGGGGACTTCATATGCATGAGGCATGACAAGGTAAAGGACCTCACAGCAAATATGTTGAAGGAAATCTACCGGGATGTCATGGTAGAACCGACCTTCCTTCCATTCGATGGTGAGATCTTCCAACACAGGACTTCAAACACATCTAACGAAGCCCGTGTGGACGTCAGTGCTCGAGGATTCTGGACGCGGGGACAGCGAGCTTTCTTCGACATCAGGATTTTTGACCCTATGGCTGCATGTCACCGTAACTTGGCTCTCGATGTTGCACATAGGAGGAACGAGAACGACAAGAGAAGGGCGTATGGGGAGAGAATTCAAAACGTTGATCAAGGCAGCTTCACTCTTCTCGTGTTCACAACCTCTGGTGGGATGGGACCAAGTGCAATATGTTTCTACGCCAGACTTTCGGAGGTGATCTCCGAACAGAAGCAGCAGCCCAGAAGTTACGTTACAGCCTGGGTGAGATGTCGACTGTCTTTCTCTCTCCTTCGGTCAGCTTTGCTCTGCCTCAGGGGAACGAGTGCGTCTGCCCCTACTCCGACAACTGCTGCAGATATTGACTATGAGGCTACAGTCACTGAATGCCGCATAGATCTGCGGCTCAACTAATTTAACACAGATAGGATAGCTTCTTATGTATTAGGATATTTAATATTAAGGTAATAAAATGTCAGCAAAGGTGTGGCTATTGGGGGAGGCTGGAGGCCACGTTTAAAAAAAAAAATTCATTCATTCACTATTGTAACCCAATTTCCTACTGGGAGTGGTGTTAGGGATCTACCACCACCTCAGGGGCACCACCCTAGAGTGTGGCAGGAGTATTGTGAAAATATCAACCCCAGCTAACAAGGACTTGAGTAATGTAGTGTAAGGTTATGTTGATATGTAATAGATAAGACGTTGTTTTTGTTGTTTCTTTATTTATGTTGCTTTTTTCCCTGATTTTTTTTCTTTTCTTTCATGCAGAGTAGCAAGAATGTTGCAGCAGCACAAGAAAAGCAGGAGGTTCAGTTCAAAAACAGTGACCTGCTGAATGACCCCCCTGATGTGCAACTCTCCACCAACCCAACACCTCCCAGCAGCCCCACATGGTAAACAACAACTTAACTTATTGTTCTAAAACGATCTTTTAACTTTTATAATTAATGTTAGAACCAAGAATTGAGGTTATATATTAATAACATTGTTATTGAGTGGCAGTAAGGCACAGGTAGATGTATGGTACAGGTAGATGTATGGTACAGGTAGATGTATGGTACAGGTAGATGTATGGTACAGGTAGATGTATGGTACAGGTAGATGTATGGTACAGGTAGATGTATGGTACAGGTAGATGTATGGTATAGGTAGATGTATGGTACAGGCAGATGTATGGTACAGGTGGATGTATGGTACAGGTAGATGTATGGCACAGGTAGATGTATGGTACAGGTAGATGTATGGTACACGTACAGGTAGATGTATGGTACAGGTAGATGTATGGTACAGGTAGATGTATGGTACAGGTAGATGTATGGTACAGGTAGATGTATGGTACAGGTAGATGTATGGTACAGGTAGATGTATGGTACAGGTAGATGTATGGTACAGGTAGATGTATGGTACAGTGGATGTATGGCACAGGTAGATGTATGGTGCAGGTAGATGTATGGTGCAGGTAGATGTATGGCACAGGTAGATGTATGGTACAGGTAGATGTATGGTGCAGGTAGATGTATGATAGATGTAGGTAGATGTATGGCACAGGTAGATGTATGATCTACAGGTAGATGTATGGTACAGGTAGATGTATGGCACAGGTAGATGTATGGCACAGGTAGATGTATGGTACAGGTAGATGTATGGCACAGGTAGATGTATGGCACAGGTAGATGTATGATACAGGTAGATGTATGGCACAGGTAGATGTATGATACAGGTAGATGTATGGTACAGGTAGATTTATGGTACAGGTAGATGTATGGTACAGGTAGATTTATGGTACAGGTAGATGTATGGTACAGGTAGATGTATGGCACAGGTAGATGTATGGCACAGGTAGATGTATGGTACAGGTAGATGTATGGCACAGGTAGATGTATGGCACAGGTAGATGTATGGTTCTCATAGGCTTCAATCGGAAATCCCCTGAAACATTGGCACCAAGCAATAGAGTGAGACGATCCTTCATGGGTTTATGCCCAGGTAAAGAAGCTTCATCTCTGGTGATGAATGTCCTTTTGGGCATTTTCTTCCAGAACAGCCCAGTTTCATCCACATTAAACACTTGCTGTGGAAGATAATTCCCTTCATCCATCAGTTCCTTGAACTCCACTACAAATTTGCTGCTCCTTCTTTGTCTGCACTGGCAGCTTCACCATGCCTAACAACACTAAAAATGTCACTTCTTTTCTTAAATTTATCGAACCAGCCCTTGCTGGCCCTAAACTCTTCAAACTCAGTTTCAAAAGATCTAGGTTGATCTTACTTCAAATGTTCGTATATTTCCCTGGCTCTTTCACAAATAAATTCAGTAGAAGTTGAATCTCCTCTCATTTGTTTTTCCTTAGCCCAAATAAGAAGTAACCTCTCCGTTTCTGAAATTAATGATCTACCTTTAAACACTGGTAGATTTATCTCTCACTTTCATTTCTTTAAATTTTTCTTTCTGCGCATGAATTGTCGACACAGTTGATGCCAACATGCCATATTCTTTACTTAGTACATTTGTTCTAATGTCTTCTTCATGTTTCTTAATAATTTTCTGTTTCACTTGAATTGAAATTGCCTTTCTAGATTTCTTTGGACCCATGCTGGATGCACTACAGTAATTTCACCACTAAAATTTTAAGTTCACTAGCTGTAATAATAAGATTATTGTATTTAAATCAACACTGCCCTATATATTATCAATGTGTTAGATAAATTTCAGAATGGCCAATAATTGTACTGTAAAAACGCAAAAACACTCTGTGTTCAAGAGACCCCCAAGCAAGATGTCTCCTCCACTGTACAGAGAGTTAAACAGACGCCTTGGTGGGTGAGTGAAGCTGCTGATGGGCGCACCAAAAACTAGTTCCCTGTACTGCATATATTATCAATATGTTAAATAAGTGTTAAAATGACTAATAATTTTATTATAAAACTTGGAAAATATTAAAGAGCTCAACCTTCTTGATATTTACTCCAATGGAAACGAATGTAAGTTAGAACCGATTACTGTATTGGCGGACTAGCCTATCAGCTGATGCACAAGCCAAAACATGTTGACATGTTGTAGTAAGGATTTCATGAATCAAATTTTTGTTTGTTAACTGAATTGAAGATTCTTATGGAAGGTAATTCGTTAACCGAACCGCTCGTTAACCGAGGGACCACTGTACAGTGGCCCCTCGGTTAACGAACTCAATTCGTTCCAGAGGGTCGTTCGTTAACCGAACCCATTGTTTCAATGGGATATTGAGTAATTGTTTCCAGCTCACAGAAAAGTATACACAAAGTAAAGCCAAAAATGCATAAAGTCAGAAACACTCCTAAAATTCCCCTAAATCGCCCTTAAATCACTATATATATCGTACATATACACTAGACCTCTTAAATCACTACTGTAATGTGATACAGGTGATTAATTTTTATCTCTTGTGCAAATATATGACATTTATATTCAAATTATTGGCTGTCTTGCAAGGATTCCAGTAATACAAATTACATTCTCCTAACTTTAGTCTGAGATAATATATAAGATAAAAACTGTAAGCCTAAAACCCTGGCTGGGGGAGAGGGAGGGAGCGGGAGGTGAGGTGATACAGTTGACAGCGCCGAAGGTCTAGTGAAATATTTATTTATTTATTTATGTCCTTTAGATTAAGTTTTTATTTTTGCTTATAAAATTTCATAGACGTGGCCAGGGAGAATATAATTTACATTGCTGGAATTCCTATGAGATAGTGATTATTTTGAATATAAACAAGCTATAATTTGCACTAGACATAACAACTTTAGTACCGTTAGTACATGTACACTACAGGTTTGCTTTAGGTCATTTATTTCTTTTAGTATGGTGTGTGCATGTAAATGAATGAAAATAAATGAAGAAATTTATGTAAATCTACCCAGAAATACAATTGAAAACTTTACATTATAAAATGTACTTATGTACTAAAAAATATTTCTCCTGTGCAAAATATATGACATTTATATTCAAATTATTCACTGTCTTGCAAGGATTACAGCAATGCAAATTATATTCTCCTAACTTTAGTCTGTGATATTATATTAGATAAAAATTTAAAGCCTACTGAAAACCACTAAACCTTTGCTGGGAGGAGGAGGGTAGAGATGGAGGGAGGGGTGACAGTGACATGTTTGGCAGTTGTGCCGAAGGTCTAGTGAAGTATTTATTTGTTTATTTATTTCCTTTAGATTAAGTTTTTGTTTTTTTCTTATAAAATTTCATAGAAGTGACTCGGGAGAATATAATTTACATTGCTGGAATTCTTATAAGATAGTGATTAATTTGACTGTAAACATGCAATAGTTTGCACTAGACTAAAATTTTAGTAATCATTTTGTACATTATTCTGATTACATGTACAGTACAGCTTTGCCCTTAGGACAGTGTGTGCATGAAAATGAGTTTCAATAAATGAATAAAGTTACATATATGAGCCAAAAATAATAGTTGAAAAACTTCATGTAGACAGAGCTTGGATGGCTAAATTTTAGAATGACCAATAATTTTAATATAAAAAATGCACAAATATTAAAGAGCACAATTTTATTGATGTTTACTCCACTGGAAACGAATGTAAACATAGAACAGATTTCTGAATTACTGAATTGGCAGACTAGCCCATCAGCTGATGCTCACAACAAAACGTGATGTTCGTAAGGATTTCGCTAATCGAATTTTTGTTCGTTAACTGAATTGAAGATTCTTATGGAAGGTAATTCGTTAACTGAAATTTTGTTAACCGAACCATTCGTTAACCGAGGGACCACTGTATATATACATACAGTCATGCGCCGGTTAACTTCCTAGATACGTTCTTGGAAACGTGACGTTAACCGAAATGGACGTTGTCCGATCATCACATAAACTTTGTATTTATACTTACGTGTATGTGGAATACTACTGTATATACATACATATACACTTTTACTCTTAAATCACTACTATAATATGATACAGGTGATTAATTTTTGTCTCTTGTGCAAAATACATGACGTTTATATTAAAATTATTCACTGTTTTACAAGGATTCCAGCAACGCCAGCAGATGGGGGAGAGGGAGGGAGCGAGCGAGGGGGCGTGGGGGGAGGGGAGGTAGTACGTTTGACAGTTGGCACAGGCCCAGGTCTAACGCGTGTATATTTATCAGTTCTTAGGTGACTAAGCTTCTCTCTTATAAAAAGCCAGTGAAATGACCTGGGTGAATATAATTAACATAGCTGGGATTCTTGTAACATACTGATTAATTTGAATATAAACATGCTATAATTTGCACTAGACAAAACAATTTTAGTACCGTAATCAAATTAGTACATGTGCACTCCAGCTTTGCACGAAGAAATCTATGTAAATCTAACCAAAAATACAGTTGAAAAACTTTTTTTTATAAAATATACTCCAGTACTGTACACTAATGTACAACAATTTTTATCTCTTGAGCAAAATATATGATGTTTATATTCAAATTAATCTCTGTCTTGCAAGGATTTCAGCAATGCAAATTATATTATCCTAACTTTAGTCTGAGATATTATATAAAATAAACATAAAGAAATCACCAATCTTTTATCTTGAACATGAGGTATTATTTATTACTATACCTTAAAATCTAGTGTTTTCCCCCAAACATTTCTCACGAGAGGGAGGAGCCAGCGAGTGTGAGAAGAGGGGGGGGGGGGAGTTGAGTCCATTATTTGAATGGACATTAACTTGGCGACTGTATTTCTCTATTTCTCTTAAATATTAATTGTGTGCGTACCATCATAAAATTAAGATGTTATTTTTACTAGAACATAGGTATTGTGTCGGGAAAAAGTGGAGTTTGGGGGTCGGCCCGGTCCCTATTTCAATTAATCCCATATGTTATGTTGTTCACTTTAAGCGTTTCTCGCTTAACGCGGGCCTCCGTGGGTTCAATTGACGGGGTAAAGTGAGAGTTCACTGTGTATATATATAATTGTCAAATCATTTACAGCCCAATCATGTCTATGGAGGAGTATGAGGTAGCCTGCACTGAAAGGTTTGCTGCAGACAACATCCAGTATGAGAGAGTTATCACCTACCTGCACACTGGAAAACATATTGCTGGTCTTACAAATGCTGAACGATTAAAAATATGGAGGCAGTCAACTATATTCCAGTGGGACTCAACACGTAAGTGATTTCTGTGATTTACAATTGAGTCTAGATGTGCTTGTGCCTTTGTTTTGCCTTTTCAAAGTAAGACGGACAAGTGCACAAGCTTTGTCTCCCTTGTGCTGCACCCTTAATAATACTTAACATGTTCTCACCCAGCCTCTAGCATATAATTATGAGGTTAGTTACTGGGCCTTTATTATTGCATTTACCTCTCATCTGAGTAATTGTGGTAAGTCAGACAGCCCTGTGCACATGCATAATAAATCAGTGTGTTGGCATGCAGTGGAACCACAAAGTACAGTGAGTTACAGACTGCTTGCCAAAGAGGTTGAATGTGACAGAGTTCAGTTCTGTTTGATCAGTTCAGTTGGCACACTGTCATGTAGGTCTTTAAGTTTGAGCTTATTCCTTTCCTTGAAGTTGTCTACACACCCCAGCCTGTGCTTGGAAGACGGGTAACAGTGTTAGGATAATGATTATTGGGATTATTACTTATGTACCTAGTAATATTACTCCTTATTTAGATTCCAGTGGTCCCATGCTTGCACTGAGTGCATCTTAATATAGTGCTTACAGTAGTTAAAACATTGCCTCTCTGACCACTTTTCATTTAATTCCTTTCAACCTTAGTAATCTCTTTTAGGTAAAGAACATTTCATACAAATGCATGTAACTATTATATGTTATAAAGGTGATCCTATCCCAACAAAGTCCTTTAAATTAGTTGATGATGAAAGAAAGATGGGGACTTGTGAATAATCACTGTGTATTGGATATATCCCTAGATATTTGCCCTAGCACTGCTCTGTTCATCCAGTTTTGGTTGTCAAACTATTTTGCTTCACTTGCCTTTGTGAACAGCATGAATAAACAAGGAATATAATTGTGAATTTTACTTTCAGAGGAAGTCTTGTACTACACCCGACGTAAAGATGGCATAAGGAGGCAGGTAGTCAGAAGTCCTGATGAACGTAACCGTGTCCTTCATTTGTATCACGGCAATCCCACAGGAGGAGGACACAGTGGTTGGAATGCCACTTATGAAAAAGTGTCCAAGAATTATTTCTGGAGGAAAATGCAAGATGACGTCAAGCATTATGTATGTACAGTATTATTATATAACTGTGTACACAGTAGATCTATGAAACTTTATCTGTAACTTCCATCATCATTTATCACCACTGTTATGGACAGCTTTTTCCATATTACATGAGTAGGTTACATTCACCTGACACTGACTCTCCAGCCTACACAATCAGAGCTTACAGAGTCTTTATTTTAATGTATTGTCCTAGCACTTCATCTCATGTCTTCCTCATAGGGCTCCTCACTAACTTCTTCAAATTTCTGCAGGTTGCAACATGTAACAAGTGCCAACGTTATACTCCCCTTAAGACCCAGGCCCATACAATGACGCCCATAAAGGTGAAGGAGCCATGGAGTAGACATGATAGGTGAGGATAAGTATTGTATACTTTTATTTTTACTGTAGCAGCCAGGGACGACGAAACTTTTGAGGTATTGGGGCTCACTTTGGACTCACGAGAGCTCTTTGTGGGCCACCTGTTGTTTTCAAAGCTATTAATAATCTCTGCAGATGTACTTGGTATGACCACCACCCTGGAGCATCATCCCAATGTAGCTCTATGGTGATGGGACTCAAACTGTGTTTTGAGCTGGAAACGACTTTGTAGATGTAGAAAACTTGTTTCATTGAATGAAGAGAATGGCCAACTGGCTTCATTTTTATGTTAAGCACTGAGAACACTTTAGTGTAAAACATGTGAAAATCAAGAATTTCCATCCATGAATAAAAAGTCAACCCCAAAAACACACAATCATATCAAATTACAGGCTTCCAATGACTCTCTCTCTCTGGATGCTTATTTTATACTTAGTGAATAGATCTGTTTAGAGATTCTTTTCCAAGTATCTTTGTCTTCTATGTAAGTTGCTTCTGCTTTATGTTGTGCCGGCTTAAATAATCTTCAGCTTTGTCTATAATAATGGTTATCCAGGCCCACTGCCTCTAAGTCATGCTGGACACAGATATGTTTGCACCTTTGTGGATTACTTCACCAAATTTGTGGATTTTTTCCACTTCAGGTCAAAAGTGCATGTGGGGTAGCTAGATGCATAAGGGCCTTCATTCACAGGTATTGTATGATAGTTTCAAAGTTTGATACAAATATTAAGTCACTGTATAAACTGTAATGAAATATATAGGACACTATACTGTACGTATAAAGAAATTTGAATGAATAATTTTAAATTTCTTCCCATGTGTAACCTTTTACATGTGTTTTAGATGGGGCCCACCTGGAAGGATACTGACAGACCAGGGACCTGAGTTTTGTTCACTGGTAAGTCCTTATGTTACTCTAAAACTTAATGTAATACTTTCTTTGTCTATTATTGAGAGGAACTTTAAATAGATTGAAACATGTTTAGCTTTGTGTTTCTCACTGCTGCTGTAACTATTAATTTGTCTTTGTTTATGAGGCCATCTTGACTCCCCACCCCATGGTTGGAAGATGATGATATAACAATGGGTAATTAACAATATCAATATAACTGTCCTCATACTTACAGTATACTGTATAGTTAATGATTTGATTTGATTTTTTTAACCCTTACGCTCCGGGCCAGAACACGCGCCTTTTCCTGCCATTGTTTAAATGCCCAGCCTGGGTTTTCAGGTTCCCTCGTGACTACCATATATCTCGGCCTACAAGGCGACAGGGTTTATATGACGACCCCAAAATTTCCATTTAAAAAGTAGGTTTTTGAGCTCTATTTGCTGTATAAGACTACCCCAAATGTGACACTTACCATTAGGAGCTTACTGACCCAGTAGTCCTTTACCAACCATCCCATTGACCAGTGCTGTTTACACTATACTGCCAGATTCTGGGGTCACTAAATCTAAGGGGATAACTTAACTCTTATCTTAATTTCTAAGGGTCGCTGCCACCAGACCCCCTCTGGACAGCATGTAGCTCGTTAGGTAGCGGGCAGAGTGAGCTAGGCATTGGGTTAGGTTTTCCATTGACCAGATCGATAAGGGGAAAGAAGGGTGAAACCATAACATGTCTTAATTAATTTATTCCTTATAAAACACACTGGTAAAAACACATACAACCACACTGTGGACCATAATTCCAAGGCCTGTCCCAGGGTATAGCACTGGCGCCTCTAACAACTGTTGTTGTGGTCGGTTACACTCCGACCCGAGATGGGTTTGGGGCCTCGGCCCACGAGGTAGAGTAGAGCCGATTAATCATGCCGAATCAGCGCCATCAATCCTATATTGACCACTGCTGGGTATCCACCGGCTCCGAGCGACCGGTGGGTTTCAATTAAGCCCACCCTCGACCTGGAGACAAACGGGAATCAGCGTCAGGGAACGAGAAACATGACAACACCAACAAACTCTCTTGTCTAGGCGACAGACGTATTTACGTTATATTACTTCTACACTGGGTGAATGACAATTCAACTGTTAAATCATGAACACTGGTGAACACTGATAATCATTACAATTGACTGAATTAACTGAATGGCTAGGAAACACAGAACCTACCTGGAGACAAACGGGACTCAGCGTCCGGGGACGCTCTCCCTGGCCATCTTGAGTTTATATACCCCTGAGTTGCCAGTGATCGCTACTCACGCAATGACAATAATCACAAACAAACTAACTGTTACTCATTCAAAGATGACCCTCAGTTGACAAAGGTCTGGCGAATTACTTGGGTTGATTTAAACAGACTAATTCAAGGTTGCGTTGGCCAGTAGAGAGTGCAATAAACGTAGTGACAACTGTGTTCAAAGGCGGGGCTTACTGAGAGTGATCCTGAGGGTAAAACGCTCCTGAGATTCTACAAGCGCGGTGGATTTGAATATTATGTAGCGTAATATGAATTAAAACGGGTTTTTAGGAATGACAATGAGGTGCGCAGTACAACACATCCTTGGTTTTTTTAAATTAGGCCAATTCACTGCAAGTATTGGCATCAAATGTTACCGGCTGGTGTAGTGTAAACACTATTGACGTCACTTAAGCGTCTGTTATTTAACTGGAATTAATGTCGGTGTCAAGTAAAATTTTTCCATTTAGTTGAAATGAATTTACCGATTTATTTGTTTATTTATTTTTTTATAATATACTGTAATATATTAAACACACTTGTTTCGTGACAAAGGAAGGCTATACCTGGTAGGTGAAGTTTACCCGATACATTTATGGTTGCATCATCATTAAGGATCGAACTTCGAATCAGATGACGAGACTTCGGCTTCTTCAATCTCATCCTAAATTTAGCACGAAGAAAACTACCACTGTCGGTAGTTTCCAGAATTATCGCAGTCATTTACTGAATATTCTTTGTAAAAAAACAAATTTTAAATGAAATATTTATAGGCGATAAGTATTATGTTCAGTAAATATACAGATATGCATTACTGGCCACTTGGGACAAAGACGGGCTAAAAGTAGCCCTATATCCCCCTCTTACAGCGGCCAATGGGAAGCATCGTGGTAATTGAATTTTGTTTGTTTATTTTCATTGTTTGTCTAATTTATCATGTTGTATCAAAGTAATATTACTGAAAGTTGTGTAGGTAGTAGGCAGCTACCAAACAGGGAGGTACTACCGCCTGGGAAGACATTGGAAGCATAATGTGTTGTCTAATGGTAGGCCCTGCTGCCATATGGCATCACGAAAATTGTGACCAAGTCCCAGGTTGATGATCTGACTTTCTGCCTCATTTACACACAATTGCAGGGTCTCAATTGTTTCTCTTACTTTAACAACACAACATACATACAGTACTGTATATTGTTTCTCACTTTTGATCTTTTTCCATTTTTTATTTATTTTTGGTTCTTTATTATTACTATTTTATTTTAAATTTTGAATTTTTGTATTATAAGTTTTATTTACTATGAATTATTATTATTATTATTATTATTATTATTATTATTATTATTATTATTATTATTATTATTATTATTATTGTTATTATTATTATTATTATTATTATTATTATTATTATTGTTATTATTATTATTATTATTATTATTATTATTATTATTATTATTATTGTTATTATTATTATTATTATTATTATTACAGTATTATTATTATTATTATTATTATTATTATTATTATTATTATTATTATTATTATTATTATTATTATTACATTTTCGCCCCCCAGACCCCGATGTGGGTCAGTCACTTGTGCCCGGGTTGGCTAATCCCCGTTAAAAAAAAAAGATAATGCAATGATTGTGTTATAAATGTATTTTTTTGTGGAATTATTATTCCGATAATTATTTGTAAAACCTACGTGGTCTCCCAAGGTAAAGCCTGACGACAGTCTGCGTGGGTGTGTCGCTGAGAACTTCTTATAAAGAGTAATGCAAATAAAATAAAGTCTACATGAATTATTTATGGGAAATGCGTATTATGATCAGTAAAGAAATGCATTATTGGTCAACTCGGACACAAAGGCAAGCGGGAAAATGACCCCTAGAAGTGCGTAGTGACAGTGAGCGCTGGATGTAAAAAAAAAACACTTAACCTTTTTTGTCTCGTCACTGGCAAATGGCGGGCGGTGCGTGATGATAGCTGCGTTTATTACCGGGGTATGTTGTTATTTTACGGTATGTTAGACAGGTTTATTATACATTTTTATTACAGTTGGGTCTTCATTTACGCGGTCAATTGAACCCGCGTTGTACCGCGTAAAACGAGAAACGCGTAAATGAAATAACAGAACCTATGGGATTAATTGAAATAGAGACTGAGCCGACCCCCAAACTCCACTTTTTCTGACACAATACCTACGTTGTAGTAAAAATAGTATCTTAACTTTATGATGGTATGCACACACACATAATATAGAAGAGAAATATCAATAAGAGAATAATATACTGTACCAGGTAAAAGAAAAATCAAGGTTTAACATTTACGTCAGGTTAGGTTAGGTTAGAAAAAATCAAGGTTAGGTTAGGTTTAACGCTTACGTTAGTAGAAGAGATGGGTCAGCGTACGGGAATGGCGGCTGGTTCCGAGGCAGAGGGCAGATTACTGGCCCTCAGGTGAATCACCATCACTATCCACCATAGTTGTCAGGGCCTCCCTGACAAATCCCTCAAAGTCACCATCACTGTCACTATCACTGGCTTGGGCTGGCTGTGGTGGGTTGCGGGCGAAGAAGTCTGTGATGTACGCTGACGGTTAGTGTTGATGTTGTCGTGATACACCTGGATGTACGGCTCCATAGTTTGCAACAGCTGGGTGGTGAAGACTTCATAGCGGTGATCGTCAGGGTCGTTGGAAAGGATGAGCTTCAGTTTCTCTGCACACTCGATGGCATCCTTAACATTACCAGGCTTTAACTTGTGTTCTCGGGATGACGCACCACCTGCCTCTTCACTGACGTGATCGTCTTCTAACATCTCGTCGGCAGTCACCTCAGGATCCCTTATCATCTCCATAATGTCGTCGTTGGTGGTCTCGGAGAAGCCTGCAGCTGTAACACTCTGCGCAGCTTCTCTTGCAAGGTCCACTGCCACTGCAACAGACTGAACCTCACCAGTCACAGGTTGACTCTGCCTCCCACCTGGGATACCTTGCAACACATGCCGCCATGCGTGACGAACCGTTGCCACAGACAGCTGCTCCCATGCCTCCACCAAGAAATCAACAGCTTTCTTGACGTTAAATTTCTTCCAGAACTGTTTGACCCGAATTTCTTGGTCCGCCAACTCTTGTTCCTCGTCCTCGTCGTCGCTCTCGCTACCGTTGTCACCCAGGTTACGCAACTCATCCTTGGTGTTGGTACAGTCGTTTAGGAGCTTAAACTTCTTTGTAGAGAATGCAGCCTTAACGTTGCATATCAACTCCTGGTCCATGGGCTGGATTAACAACGTAGTGTTTGGAGGAAGGAAGACCACTTTTACGTTGGGGTGACGATCTAACAGTAGGGGCGAGTGTCCTGGTGCGTTGTCAAGGAGCAACAAGATGTAGAATGGAACATTCTGTTGCTCGCAGAATTTCTTGACGTCGGGAACAAAACAGTCGTCAAACCAGGAGAGGGACATAGCAGTGAACATCCACGCCTTACGTGCAGGTAGCCAGTGGACATTTAACTTGGTCATGTCCATGCTCTTGTAGGCGTGCGGCTTGCGTGCTGTGTGGATCACCGATAACTTGAGTTTACAGGTACCGGAGGCATTGGTGGTAAACAAAATGGTGATGCGCTCCTTCTGCAACTTCCCGCCCCGACACTTGCTGGCAGACTTGATGTAAAGGCCTGGGACTTAGGGATAGAAATCCCTTGCCAGACTAATCAGGTTCTTAATAAAGGAAAGTCAAGGACCATGGTTTTCCGAGGAATAACAAACAACCGTTTGAGATTGACATCTCTTTACTATAAAAAATATAACACAAAACTCTGACACCACTCAACAAACATCAAATAATTACGGGAGTCAAACAATTAATGCAGTAAACAGTTAATGGAGTCAAACAATTAATGGAGTCAAACAGTTAATGGAATCAAACAATTAATGGAATCAAACAATTAATGGGGGTCGACAACTGATAGAATCAAACAATGAACGGGGAGTCAGCAATTAAAGGAATCAACAACAAAAGAATCAAACAATGAACAGATATTTCCTATGGCAGCGGCCCTGGGGGAAGGTTCTGGAACACGGTGATCCACACTCAGAGGAGGAAGCGTCCATTCAACTCCACGCTCGAGTGACAGTGGCCGATGTCTTGAAATGGCAGGAGAACACCGGGGCACAGACGGAGGAGATGAACTGACAGTCGTGGTATGCGGTAGTGGTATATGACCAGAGAATTGACAGTCGATAGGTGAAGGTCTGGGGACACAGCCCACGAGTCCCGAGCCTTAATGAGATCACAGCCAGAATTTGACGAACAGCGGGATAGCTAGATAGTGACTGTATGGCGGCTGGGGTGAATCTGACGGCGACACAGGTAGAAGCGCCGTTTAGGCCTCTGTCCAACCCCCCCCACAAGTGTTGGTCACACCAGCAAACAAGCGAGTAAGCAGCGGTAACGAGCAGGAAGATCGTTTCCGCCCTTACAATTGACAACTAAGGTCTTGGAAGGTAGCTTTTTCCAAAACAGACCGGATTCATCCATGTTGAACACCTGGTCGTCGGTGTACTGTCCTTCCTCCATAACGTCACGTAAGAACGGATGATAATCACTAGCCACAACACGGTCAGCACTCGCTCCTTCACCACCAATGTTAATGTTGGTGATCTTGTTCCTCTTCTTAAACCCTTGCAGCCACCCAGAGGAAGCATTGAAGGGTTTGGGCTCTGCAATTCCCATCTTAAGTGCCACTGCTACGTACAGTTCACGTGCGTACTCTTGAACCGACCGCGTGTCCACCGCCATGTTCCGTCGTGCCTGAAGAATCAAGTAGCTCACAAGTAAATTCTCCGTCTTGAGAAGCACCTTGTTCTGGCAGTACTTCACCATTGAAGCACCTGCAGACTTTGTGATGTTCATGTGTTCTTTTACAGTAGAAGTCCAAAAATCCGGACTGCTTGGGGATTGGGTGTGGACTCAACAATTTAATCGTGCCAAATTAACGACATCTTGCAAGGTAGCCAGCTGGTGTGCAGCTACCGGTCCCCCGGTGACTGTTGGGTATTCAACTAACACACACACTGTGCCTGAGATACTGATGGAGAAGCGTGAGAGATGTGATAATAATAACTCGATCACAAACAATCTTTCGTCTGGCAACGACAGACAATATTTACGTTACATTAATTCTTTCACTGGGTAAATGACATTTTCACTGTTACAACATGAACACTGATATTCACAAAATTCACTGAGTTAAACTGACTTAATATGGCAGGCGTGGGAACATACACATACCTGAGATATGATGGGATAGCATCAGAGATGTGATGCTACTCCTTGGGCACAAGTTTATATACGGCTAACTAGCATCTCAGGCCTGTGCGCTACACATGCCAGAAAGGCTAATCAAGCAATGACAGAAATTACATTCAACTCAGTCGCTGTACATTTAACTATGAAAATCAATGCCATGGGTCAGGTGAATTTCTTACGTCTATTTTTATAATCGAATCAGAGATTGAGCTGGCCAGGAAGAAGTGAAATGGACGTCAAATACATACACTGTTAACGTCATTCTCACAACATCAGCGGAATTTCTAGACAAGGAGCCTCTATGGGTATGCGTTGAGATGTTGGAGATAAGGAGTTTGACATGTTCTTTTCAGAAGATTAATGACTTTCTTAAATAGACAAGTGACAATAATCATACTGCAAATATCAGATTCTCTGAGGTTTGGGCATCAAAATAATTAACTTCAGTAGCAATTGGAAATTCATGGTTATCCCCAGGGACAATATCATGGGATGCCATTCATACTGGCAGACTCGACACTGACTTACTTAACAAGTGTTACTAACAATAAAGACACTCACAAAGGATCTTCTATGCTTTAACTGTAATGAGACATCTCTCAGTTGACTCAAAACAATGGTGTTCTCTCTCACATTCAAACTCACTTTATAGAGAGGCTGGTTTCAGGAAGTCAGAGAAAATGGACGGCACCCACGCTTGGGAGCGATGAGAAAACCGACACCTCAGATGGGAGACTCGATAAAGAAGAAATAGCTACATGTTTTGTGGGCTATTGAGCATAATATGAATCGTCTGATTTTACGTTAACTGACATGTACAACCGTGGTCATTACACCGGCTTCACACTCTTTCAATTAATGTTTAATCGTGAGCATAGGCCACTTGACCTGGTAAGTGGGTAAGTGTCAAACTTTTTTATGTGTGTATGCATGTGGGGGGGCGGAGGGGGGGGGGGGCGAGCAAGAAGGTCTGTTTTAAGTTTTTTAGGGAAGTAAAGATATTGGAAAATCAGGCTCCCAACCCAGTGCTTCCCTGATTCTACCACAGATGTGGTGGGTGGTGGGGTTGCCATCAATCCTAATCCCTACACTTGTTTTAGCTTAGTTATATTTCAGTCTTTTTTAAACTATGACATTAATTTTTCTGGATCTATTGGATTGTGAGCCAGACAGACTTAGCCTTCCAGATGAAACTGCTGCTGTAAGTAAAGTACTGCCTCAACTTGTGTATTAGATCACACCAAACAACAACTAGGTGACTGTACATATTTTAGGTGCTTATTTGTGCCTTCTCTAAACTTGTACATTTTCATATTCCAGGCTTCAGAAGATCTTGCTGACCTTCCCAGTGATGAGGAAATTTCAAGCTATGAACAGGATCAAAACAGTGAGCGTGAAGACTTGCCCAACCAGGTGAGTATGAGTTGTGCTTATTTATATTATGTCTGAGTCTTAAAGATAAATGACAATTATTGTTATGATGATAAATCAGTCTGTTGGGGACAAACACAGCAATCATTTGACTCCTTCTACCATGAACTATCCCTTCAAGCCCACTTCCAGCCAGACTATTGCGCCGACAACATGCTCCTTTTTGAAAACAACCTAATGCATGCTAACTGGGATCTTGTCTATGCCTCCAACAACCCTAACATGAACAGCTGTAACTTCTCTTGCATCTTCAATGCTTGCTTTGATAAATGCTTCCCACTCAAGACTAACTCAATGAAAACTGTATCCATTTCCAAACCCTATATCACTAAGCGAAATTAAGATAATAATAAAGGAAAAACACAAACTCCAAAGAAAATTTGCAAAAAGACCCATAACTTCCGGTGATGCTTACTGAAGTACTATCAGAAATAGAGTAACTCAAGTAGTTAGAAATGCCAGACGTAACTACAGTAGAAGTCCAAAAATCCGGACTGCTTGGGGATTGGGTCGGTCCGGATTTTCGGAATTCCGGATTCTCAGGCAGTACTTTTAAAATTCAAATTTAAGGAGGAATAAAGAAGAGATGAACAGGTACATTTTGATAGTTTATTCATTAGCAAATATAGCATGCTTCATTTATCAAAACGAGCAGTTTTAATGAAAAAGCTGTGAATTCTAGAATTTTATTCTTTGCCTTTTTTATATCATAAATTGTAGACTTTCCAATGTCGTATGTTTCCATTAGAACAGTATTGCTCACACCGCGTTCTAGTTTCTTAATTATTTCAAGTTTGTCACTCAATTTCAACGTGTTCTTCTTTCTCTTCACACAACGAAGTTTATCTACTTTAGGAGCCATTATTATGGGCTTCTTCAGTACTCTGTAAATGGAATGAGTTGGACTCAAAATTACATACAGTCCGTTGTCACAGTTTGATTGCTTGTTTTAAAGTGGCAACCGCGTGGTCGCTTGTTGTTGCTGTGGTGCTCACGACTGCGCACATACACACAAAAGCCAGCTAAAAAAAAAGTTTTCGAAAAGTCCGGATTCTCAGGTGGTCCGGATTTCTGGCATCCGGATTTTTGGACTTTTACTGTATGATACAAATAAGCTCCAGTCAGCATCAGGCGACAGTAAGAAAACCTTTGAATGTCATAAATTCTATTCAGAACAGGAACACTCAGCCTTCGGCCCCCCACTCGGCTTTTATGATAAACGATTCAGTTATAACGTAACCCTCCCTCATTGCCAACCACTTCAATGAATATTTTATTAACGTTGGCAAAAATCTTGCAGAGAGCATCCCTGATCACCATTAGGAATTTAGAGCCTACCTGCAAAACAGACAGCATAATGAGCTGTTCTTATTCCCTGTCACAGCAGATGAATTACTGGCCATCATAAAAATGTCTAAAGATGCAGCATCAGGCGAAGACAATACTGTATAACAATGAGCATCATCAAGAAAGTAGCCCACTTATTACTACCTGTTCTTCTACACATTCTAACTCCCCCTTCACAAGTGGTGTCTTTCCGGTTAAACTGAAAATTGCTAAAGTTCACCCGGCATATAAAAAATCTGGGGACAAAGGTCTCTTCAAGAATTACCGCCCCATATCAGTCCTCCCAGCCTTGAGTAAGATACTGGAAAAGCTAGCATGTAATAGACTAAATTCCTTCTGCAATGCCAATAACATCTTTACAGACTCCCAGTTTGGATTTAGAGCTAGAAGGTCGACTGAGAGTGCTCTGCTATCCTTTACTAATGACATCTTAAATTCCTTTGATAACAGTCAGTTCACAGTCGGTATATTCTTGGACCTCTCTAAAGCCTTTGATACTGTTGACCATACCATCCTCCTTTCAAAGCTTGAACATTACGGCATTAGGGGCCTGTCCCACAATTGGTTTACCTCATATCTGTCCAACAGGATGCAGTATGTCTGCTACAATAACCACCAATCTGACTCCTCGCCAATCTTGTATGGAGTCCCCCAAGGTTCAATTCTCGGTCCAGTACTTTTTTGTTGTACATAAACGACATAGTCCACGCCAGCACTCATAAAATACAACTTATTTGCAGACGATAGTAATCTCTATGCCAGCAACGCAGACCTCCATTCCTTGATGAGAACTATGAACACTGAATTGACTAAAGACGGGACCTGGGTAATACGAAATAAACTGACCGTAAACCTTGAGAAAACCCACTACACGATCTTTCACAGAAGAAAAAACTTCCCTCCAGACTTGGAACCCCTGTACCTTGGTAATACAGTCCTCAAACGCAAACAAAATACTAATTTCCTCGGATTTATTGTTGATGAGAAACTTAACTGGAGAAACCACATACAAGCCATTCACAGTAAAATCAATAAACAGTGCGGTATCATGTATCACACTCGACAGTCACTCACTCTCACAGCAATGAAAGAAATCTATCATGATCTTGTTTACCAACACCTGATACACTGTCACACACTATGGGGGGCCTCTGGCTCTTCAAAAACAAAATCTCTGGTTACTACACAAAAGAGAGTTGTACGGACAATGACCTACTTGAAAAAAACAGATCACACAAACGAAAAATTTGCTATATTGAAATTTTTAAAATTCGAGGATATTAACACTTACTGCTGCACCCTCTTTGTTTACAAATCTATCAATCACTTGCTGGACAATAATTATTTCCAGTTCCAGAATAATCAGAGATACAACTTCAGGCACCCAGAGCTACTAAGACCACCCCCCATGTGCTCCTCTCAGTCCCAGACCTCCATAAAATATCATGGTGTGAAGGTGTGGAACAACTTACCCCCACACATCCGAGCAAAGACTACGCTCCCTTCCTTTAAATCATCTCTAAAAAAATATCTATTGTCGAAGTATTAATATTTCTTGTAACACTTACTATATTTACAGTACCTGCTTTTATTGTACCATCAAAACCGTTTTATCGGAAATTATCATGTAAATAAATAAGTAATTACCATTGCAATAAACATAATTGCCAACTAGACATAATCCTGAAAGCTCTGTCCTCTTGTTCAACCTTATTACTGTACAACCCAGGTTGTACTGCTCCCCCATTATACTTATGTTTTTAAATTCCACTCTAATTTATATGTGTATGTGTGTATGTACCGTATATCTCGGCTTATAAGACGAAATTTGAACATTAAAAAAATCTGCCCAAAGTTAGGGGGTCGTCTTAAGCAACACATATAAAATTCTTACATCTTAAATATTGTGTCAAGAGTGGTGATGGAAACATCGTAAGCCACTCACAAAGTCCTACCAGTAATTATTTTATACTGAAACTTACGTTTGGCAAGCTGGATTCAAATTAAGATTACCGGTATATTAAAATAATAAAAATGTATTATAAACCTGTCTAACATACCATGTAATAAACACAGCTGCTATCATCACACACCCCTCCCCACGCCCCCTCCCCCCCCCCCATTTGCCAGTGAGGAGACAAGAAAGGAAAAGTGACCGCGAGATTGGGCTATTTTTAGCCGTGGAGGTGGTCAGTAATGCATACCGGGTATCTGTATATTTACTGATAATAATATTTATCTCCTATAAATAATTGATTTAAAATTTATTTTTTTTCAAAGAATATTCAGTAAATGACCCTCTGAGTGCATTAATTCTTGAAACTATCGACGGTTAATTACAGACGCTCAAGTGACGTCACTAGTGTTTACACTACACCAGCTGGTAATATTTGATGCCATTACTTGAAGTGAATTGGCTTTATTTTAAGTAACTAACTATAAATAAATACAAAAATTAAAAAAAAAGATCAAAAGTGAGAAATAATATACTGTATGTATGTTGTGTTGTCAAAGTAAGAGGAACAATTGAAACTGCAATTGTGTGTAAATGAGGCAGAAAGTCAGGTCAGCACTGAACCTGGGACTTGGTCACAATTTTCGTGATGCCATATGGCAGCAGGGTCTACCATTAGACAACACATTATGCTTCCAATATCTTCCCAGGCAGTAGTACCTCCCTGTTTGGTAGCTGCCTACTACCTACACAATTTTTAGTAATATTAATTTGATACAACATGATAAATTAGACAAACTGAAAATACACATCAAATTTAATTACCAAGACGCTTCCCATTGGCCGCTGTAAGAGGGGGAGATGGGCTATTTTTATCCCGTCTTTGTGTCTGAAGTGGCCAGTAATACCATATATTTATTGATCATAATACTTTTCTCCTATAAATAATTAATTTAAAATTTATTTTTTTACATAGAATATTCAGTAAATGACTTTTAATTCTTTTAACTACCGACAGTGATAAATTTAGGATGACAATGATGAAGAAGAAGTCAGGTCATCTGATTCGGAGTTTGATTCTTAATGATTACCATATATGTGTAAGGTGACCACGTCAGGTCATGTGTAAGGTGACCACGTCAGGTCATGTAACGGTATCTATCCCCAAACGTGATACCCCTTCTCTCATTTGCCTTGTCCAGTTGTTGAGTTATCACTCCATAAGCAATAGCACTCTCTCCGTGTGAACACTACGGTATATTAATACTGTATCCAGCTACCACAAAACCTCACCATGGCTCCAATTGTTAAACGCATGAGATATGAAGCTTGTTTTAAGCTGAAAGTGATAGCATATGCCCAGTCACACAACAATTGTGCTGCTTCAAGAGAATACGGTGTAACTGAGAAGATGGTGCGGGATTGGAGATCAAAGGAACACTTACTACGAAGTATGCCCAGGAATAAATGTGCAATGAGAAGAGGCACTGCACACTGGCCGATTCTAGAGAAGCACGCAGTAGACATGGTCCATGAGCAGCGTCAAAATGGGTATATTGTATCAAGAAACATGATACGTATGTGGGCACTTAAGTGGGCTAAACAAAATCAAGAGCACAGCAAAGACTTCAAAGCCACGGCTTCATGGTGTAGCCGTTTTATGGAAAGAAGCAATCTGGTA